AATGGCCGTGCAGGATCTTCTGAGAGTTTTCTGCACGATAGGAATTTTTTGAGCTTGACAGATGATACCAGCATCAGATCTCCTTACCATCCAAATTTGGATTCTGGTGATTCTGAGGTCTATAGCTTGAAAAGGAAGAGTACTTCATGGAGCAGTGGAAACAGTGCCTATGAACCCCAGAGGTTTGGGGAAGTGGAGCCTGATTCACAAATACCAGAAGATATGTATGAACACAACAGGAGTCCTATGAGATTCCATGATTACCCTCAGAAATTTGTTAAGAAAAGTTCAGTTTATGAAGAACCATGGGATGATATGCCAGAAGATGCCTATTCTGTTCATGGAACCAAGAAACTAAGGATTGGCTCCTTTCCTCCTGAGAGAGAGCTTCTTGAGTATCCTTTATCTGATTTAGAACAAGAAGATCATGCTTTTCCAAGGGTACTCTCTGATTTTCCACAATCTGACAGCTTTGGTAAGAACTTTGATGTTGGAAACTTTGGTTATAAACAGATTTCAAATCGTCCAGTGAATTCAGCCATGCCTCATGGAGAAAGGAATGATCACTGGAAGCCATCTTATGATGGGTTTCAGGTTGGATCTGGTTCTCTACCATCAAATCTTGTTGAGAGGAAAAGATTAACTCCTGAACTAGATCAGCCATCTTTGAAAGAGTGGAAATGGGAGGGTACTATAGCAAAGGGTGGAACTCCTGTCTGTCGTGCTCGCTGCTTTCCTGTCGGAAAAGTCCTTGACATCATGCTGTAAGTATTTAGTTTTGTTGCCATTAGAATTTACTTGTGTTCAATTTTGAACCTCAAATTTTCAGAATGAAAAGAACCAACCTTAAATTTCAAATTTTGCACAGTTTCATCCTCCTCCAAATTTAACTTCAGTTACATTACTACATTATTTAAAAGAATCAAAAAGTTGAGGGCTGAACTAGAAGACATCTTTTTTATCAATAAATATTTTTTGTATGGAAGTTTTGAATTGAATAAGCAAATTAGGGATCCCTAAGGAACTGACTCTAGCTTCAGTCTTGAAAAATGTATTTTTAACAACTCTTTCATAGACAGTTATAGAAGAAATTATTTAAGATAAGCCATTTCCTCAGCTTTGACATTCTATCTATTGCTTCTCTGTCGTCCATTTTTTCTTATTAGAACTCTTTGCATCTCAGACTGTTGACATTATCTTATTTATCAAACCTACCAATAATGTTAATCCGCCCAAGGTGCGTGTAGGCATTCAATGAGTGTGAAATGATAAATTTGTGTCTTGCTTAACATTTTCGGGTTCAACTCCACAAAATAGATTGTTTAATCAAAAACAGAATGATGGCTAGATTTTTTATTTATGCACATCTCTTACATTCTTTAGTCACTAACTCGTTATCATTTTGAGTACAAATCCGTATTCAGATGACCAAATTCCTACCTCACTACTATTTTCTTAAGTTACAACATGTCTGTAAATTCCCTGATGGGGCAAATTCAGTGTTATCAATTATTGAATTGAATATTTCAAGTTTTTTTCTGAAACAGAATGAAACCATTTCAATTCCATTTGGAATACAAAATCACTCCCCTTTATATTTATTGCACTTCTGTTCATAGCCTCTTAAGGTTCTCTTACCCTATCATAATGCTGCAGGCCTGAAGTTTTAGATTGCACTGCAAGGACTGGGCTAGACATGCTTGCAAAGCATTACTATCAAGCCTCTAGTGCTTGGGTAGTTTTCTTCGTCCCTGAAAGTGATGCTGACATAGGATTCTATAATGAATTTATGCACTATCTGGAGGAAAAGCAGCGTGCAGCAGTTGCTAAATTAGATGATAGGACCACCTTGTTTCTTGTACCACCATCAGATTTTTCAGAGAAGGTGCTTAAAGTACCTGGAAAACTAAGCATCTCTGGTGTTATTTTGAGATTAGAACTTCCTAGTTTTGGGGCTGTTCTTCCAAATTTGAACAAGGATGCTACTTTGTTTCGTGGTGATTCATTATATGGAAGACCAGCATCTTTTCCTTCAGTGACATCTTATCCAGAGTTAAGTAAATCAGGATCTAGTGATCTCTCTTTTCAAGGGAATGCAGCTAAATCAGCTCAGCCAATGTCATTTTCAGGGTCAGCTCATGATATTGGACATCCATCAGACCAGTACAATGAGAATGGGCATGAGCATCCTCTTCATTCCTGCAATCCTTTGTCCATACCCAACTGGTGTTCTCATGATCTGCAGACCTCGGCTTCTGTTGCTAGAAATATTTCTTTTCAAGTTTCGAGTGTTGTTCTTGATCCTATTCAGGCACATGACTCCGCCATGCCCAGGGCAATGCAAGAAGCAAGCTCTAGTAATTATCCTGGTGGAATTTCTGGTATACCATTACCGGGCCACAGCAAGCCATCTCATCAGGAAGCAAAAACTTCAGTCCCTTTGTCTACACCATTTTCAGCCATTCAATCAGAGCAGCTAGCACAGTTAGCATCATCTCTTCTTGGGCAGCAGAGGCAGGCAGGGAGCACTCCAAATATATCTACTGGGGAGACTTTCCGACAGACAAATACTGCAGAGCAGTCTGATATGTTAAGGCCATCACAAGGATATGCTTTACAGAATAATCAAGTCACTCCTGAGCTCTCAACTTCTCACATTACTCAAATGCAACAATTGCAGCAACAACAGACTTCAAATGTACCTGTAACCATTCCTCCTGTCACTCAAAGGGAGTTTCAGCCAGGGGCTGAGATAAATCAACAGCTGCAAAGTACAAGTACCCAAGAAGAAGCTGATTCAGATCCGCAGAAACGTCTTCAAGCAACATTGCAGTTGGCAGCAGCTCTTCTTCAGCAAATCCAACAGGCGAAGGGAACTTGAATGAATCCATATATCTTTCCAGTGGATTGTCTGAACCGTTACTTTGTTGAGAGAGTACAACCTAGATCAAATTTCAGGTCAGCGTAATTGTCTTGGTTTTTGGCACGTTGTAGTAGCAGAGTACAATTACAAAGTATTTCTAGGTTCTCCTCTTTTTGGCATTTTGACTGGCTGTAATTTTCTCTTTCATTCAAGTATATCACGCAGCTATGGAATTAAACAGATTGTTTACCGGCTAGTCCAAATTTCTACTTTGAAATTGCGAAAGCATATGAAGTTCCTTCAGTTCTTTGCTGTGTCAATTCATTATTTATCTTTATTTAAAATTTCACTGAAATTTTATTGTTAAATTTGTACTTTATCAAGTCATGATACTTGCATAAGCATATGAAACCATCTAATATGCAAAGGGCCTTGAAAAGCTCATCTCCTTGGCGTTCATGAAGTATATGGATGTGTTTCTCGTTTTCTTGGAGAATTTGAAAATTACATTGAATAGAAAAAGAAAAAACCCATCTCACCACAGCAGTATGGCGATGATACGCCATCTTCTCCTATCATGCATATGAAGCTAAAAAAAAGTGAGAGAAAGTCAAACCAAAATCATACCGACTGTATATGGTTTGCCAGCAACAAGTAATTCGCAGCTAAAATTAACTTTTAGCTCCTCACTTTACAAAATTGATAGGTTTTAGCTTCTAATCTTATAATATGACACTTTTAGTCATTTACTTTATAAATGTGGTAGGTTTTAACTTCTCACCTTACAAAGTTAGTAGACTTTAACTCCTCATTTTTAACCCCTTATTTGTACGAATTGAAGAAAATAGTCCTTATTTAACATCAGGTTATAATGTTTTATTAGTTATGTTAGTTGATTGTCAGTTTTGTTAAACTGACTGTCAGTTCTGTTAGCTAACTGTTAATTCTGTTAGTTGACTGTTATCATTCGTTAGCATTCTGTTAATAGAACTAACAAATAATATTGAATTTAAATTTCATATTTTTTATAACAGAATGTTAACAGATGTTAACAGTCAACTAATATAACTAACAGAACATTATAACCTAATGTTAGGTGAGGGCTATTTCTTTTAATTCGTATCGGTGAGGGGCTAAAACTATCATAAGATAAGGTAAGGGGTTAAAACCTACCAACTTTGTAAGGTGAGGGACTAAAACTCACCAATTTTGTAAGATAAAGGGTTAAATTGTTATGTTATAAGATGAAAGGCTAAAACCTACCAACTTTGTAAGGTGAAGAGCTAAATATTGATTTTTACCGTAATTTGCTACCTTAAGTCGCCAACTTGGGTTAGCCCAACCCACCAAACTTGACAGGTTAGACCAAGGAAGTTTGTACCGCATCGTACCGATTTTTGGGATGGATCGAAATGAAATAAATTAGAATTTCGTTTCGGTCAAAATTCGATAATTTCAGTTAAATTTCGAATACCAGCCGAAATTTCATGTACCGGCCAGTACATCAAAATTTAACCGATATATTATGCAAGAATTAAAAAAAAAAAAAAAGATTCCCTAGCCAAAACGACGTCGTTTTGGCTAAGGGTGGCTTCCAGATCACACAAATCTCTCCTCTGTTCTTGCATCAAGTTGTCCTTGACATTCTTCCATTTTTTATACAATTTCCCGGTACAATTCAATTCAAATTTAAAAAGGGTAAATTTTATTTTTGGTTATCAACTTTAATGTTGTACATAATTTTCATCATTTAGCTTTTTTATGTACTTTTTTAGTATATTCTTTATTTTTTTCTTAGTCATTATATCAATTACTCTGTTAAATTTATCTAAATATACACTTTTTTAATCCTTTAATTTAAAATGGATGGATGAAAAATATGCATATATTAGAAGTTGAGGGATTAAAAATGATCATTTTAAACTGGTTTTTAGTTTATAGGAATATAATAGTTTTAAATATTAGTATCTCTTATTTTATTTTAAAATTTAATATTTAATTTATAAAGACATATATTTATAACAATAAATCTAAAATAATACGCGAAAAATTTCGGTATCCGATATGTACCGTTCCAGTAACAAAACTGATACACAAACCGGTATGATATTGATTTCCTTGGGTTGGACTTCCTTTGAGGGCAAAAACCTACTTTTAGTTCTTTACCTTACACTACTAAAAAATGAAGAATAATTAACAAATTTTTTTGTCGATTATAAGAGAATATAATCGACAAATATAGTTGACAACTATATCAATCGTAAAAACAATAGTCGAAAATAACTATAATCAACAGTCAAAAGTACTGTCGAATATATTCCTATAATCGATAGCTATTTACTGTCGAATATATATATATATATATATAATCAGCAGCCATTTGCTGCCAATTATACTTGGTAAAAAAAAAAAAATAGTATCAAGTAATGGTTGTCAATTATATACTCTTAATTGTCAGGAAATAGTCTAACGATAATGGTTTTTTATTTTTTTTACCAAGTATAATCGATAGCCATTTATTATCGATTATATGTATATTCGACTTGTTGTCGAATATACTTTGCAAAAAAAAAAAAAAAAGGAATTCAACAAAATCCAATTTTATATTTATAATTTTTATTGTTAATTAAATTATATAAAAAACAATGAAATGAAATTCAACACATTTATCAAATCTCTCAACAAACATATTTATGAAATAATTTTAAGAATAATATAATATAAGAAATAGTAGATAAACTTAAAAAAACTAAAATGAGAATTTTCTAACCTTAATTATTTTTTTTTATCAATATCCTGCCAAAAATACTAGCTTAAAAAAAGAAGGCATTGGTATACATTATGACTTTATTAAAAGAAAAGAAAAAAATATATATAAATCAAATTTAAAAGACAAATTTACCTCATAATTATAGTATTAAAATCTGCACACAAAAAAAGAAAAGAAAAAGAACTATTAGTATATAAAATAATAAGAATTCTTAGTTTAAACTAAATTAAAGTAATAGGATGATAAATAAAAAAAAAGGTGCATTGAATGAGACGGATGAAGAGAAAGAATATGATGGATTATCAACATAAAAGATATTGGAATAAGTATAAATGAAGGTGAAAATAAAAATAAAACTAGAGATATCTACAAAAATACAAATGGGAGAGCATAAAAGATGAAAGAAAAAGAAAAGTAAAAGGAGAAGAAGTTGAGAGAAAAATTGGGACGTTTTGCCTGTGGGAGAGAAGGAGAAAGGAAGAGGTAACCAAAGATGAAAAACAGAAGACAATTGGATGTTCTGATGTTGTTGCCTTTGTATAATCAAAATATATTCGACATAAACTCTGTCGATTATATTGAAATATAGCCGTTGAATGTAATTCAAATTAAATTAGCCAAAAGATTTAATTTTTTTTTGGTTGGGTGGGCGGGTTTTCAATATAATCGATAGTCATACTGTTGATTATGTTCTGACTCTTTTTTTTAATACTTTTTTTTAAAAAAGTTTTTTTCTATTAAAACTAATGGTCAATTTCATGTATCTAATTCTCCCTTTTTTGGTTTCTAATTTTTTGGTTTTTTTTTTTTCCTTTAGTTGCTTTTTATTGATTCTCTTGTAAAATTTTTTGTTTTAAGACTTGTAAGAATCAATTTTTTTAGGTTATAATTGATTATTAAAATTATAGGTTTGATAAAAGGAAAGATGTGCTATTTCCTTACAAAATATTATACTACATTTTTGTTTTCATTTTACCATAAGAGTATGTTAGATTTTTTTTATTAATATTCTATATTTTGTTAATATAAACTCTAATACTTCATAACTAAAACTAGTTTAAGTTATTAAATATATACTAACTTCTGATCCTATATAATATATGTATATACATATGCACTACACATATATAAGTTTAAAAGATCAATGTCTCTAAGGAGGAGGTGATAAGTGATTAGTTCCAGGCCCTTTCAAAGAAGGACCACTAGTCTGGGGTGGTGCAAAACCTACAGCGTATTGCTAGCTAAGTAAGCGCATATGCTCTTGGAATCGCCTCTCAAAGCTAGCCTCCAACTCCGATACTTTTTGTGATACCTCTATTTGAATATGTGCAGCCACTTTTGTCTGAACTCGTCTTGCCATTTCTTCTCGAACTTGAGTAAGTTCAAACTGCAATTGTTGGATTTGTGTCGTAAGAATCCTAGTGGTAGAAGATGAGGCCTCACTCATGTCATATCATCGCCAAGGGATGCCATGCTTTGCTGGATCTTATAGTGTAGACATCCCTCTCATCTAATCCTTTTTAGGGGGTCCAACCACCTCCTTCTAGATAAGTGGATCTGTCATAACTCAAATTTTAATAGAATTTTATTTTAATTTTATCTTTATTAATCTGTTTGCCTTTGTTTTCCTTGTTGGGTTCATGAGCAAAAAAAGATTCTGTGAAGAGGATTGGAAAAGGAGATGAATGAAGTTAAAAGAAAAAGGACTCAGTTGAAGAAATCAAAAATTGGAGGGGTAAAGTTCATCAAGACGAATTTACAAGTCTAGCTCATACTCAATATGGAGTCTATTAAAACCAAACCTAATCCAACACCAACCCATTTCAATTTTAAGCCTCAAACCCAAAAAACCCAAAATCAAAATCAAAATCCAAAACCCAAAGCCCCATCAACTACCCAAAAAAAACCAAACCCAAAACCCAAAACCCAAACCCAAAACCTAAAAGCGAAACCACAAAAAAAAAAAAAAAAAAAAAAAAAAAAAAATGCCAAAGTCTTCTTTCTCACCCTCACTTTCGGCTTTTTCTCTCATCTCTCGAATCTTCCTTCAGCAGCCAGCAACCATTCTCTCTCTTTCTCTTTGGTCAATAGCGGTCTCATCTCACCAATCTTTCTTTCTGTTGCTGTCTCCTCCCCCTTGATTTCCCCTTTCTTCAAAGAAAACAACCGACAGCCATCCCTTTTTATCTAGATCACCAATGATCTTGGTTCTGCTCTTGTCATGGATCCTTGCTGTTTGGTTTCACCATATTCGAATCCTTTCCACGCCAAAGAACCCTTATTTCGCTTAATCGAAAGCCATCATATCGAACCCACCTTCTCGAACCGTTCCGTAGTCCAGCACCTACCATGCCGGCGAGTGAGCAGCAAGACGAGGGAGAGTATAATCAGATCTGCCAACTGGTGATGGAGGTGATGTGCACGTGAAACTCCGGTGACTCGGCAAGATTTCTATCCCCCTGCGACTCGAATAGATTTGCAGATCTGTACTGCTACAGAGCACGAATGGGGTGATAAAAAGCTGACGTCAAAGCAGATTGAAGGCCCAAATACATTTTTGCAGATGTTTGTAAAAGGGTAAAGATCGGAGAGGCCCAAATGCAATGTTGCAGATTCTGGTAAAGAAGAAACAGATCAGAGAAGCCCAAAAGCCGTGGAACCAAAAGGCCCAAAGAGATGATTTCTGGAATGTTCCTTTTAGGGTTTTTAAGGTTTCTTTGTTTGGGTATAAATAGAGGGGTTTTAGGAGCAGAATGGAGGAGGTCTTTTTGGTTTTGAGTTGGGTATTGAGAACGGCGGTAGAAAGAAGAGGAGTTCTGTTAGAGAGAGGTGGTGGTTTGGGAGGAGATTTGGGTCTATCTTTGTAAGTAATTTTCTGAACAGAGGAGTTTTCTGGGAATGGTGGTGAAGGGGACGATGGGAGCCTGGTCCCATGGGTGGGATCCCTCCCATCCAGATCTAGATCTATCTTCCTTAAAAAACTCCGTCGTGGGTGTCTCTTTTATTTTGTTGATTTTCTCTGTAGTTTCTTAGATTCAATGTTTAAGTTTGTATGCATTTACTGGAAAATGAATGAGAATCAAAAGTTGTTCAGTTTGTTATGCGTGTTCCTTTATGTCGTTGAATGTGGTTATTTTATTTTTCTTGTGATGAATTTTTTTTTAATGACATTAACCCTAGATCTAGATTTAGTTTTGTTCGATGTTTGATCTATTTCTTCCATGTTTGCTTGATGGATTATGTTTTTTTT